GATACCAGCAGAAATAAAACAGTGTTACAATACATTACACAGCACTGCCGGTGTTTACAGGAATGTTATATAGCGTACATTTACCATAATTATTTTACCCGTTTCCTCACCTCCTGTTCCACGAAAGGCGTATCTTTAGGCTGTGGCTAGTTAGTTGGTAGAACTGGTGGTCTCTCTACTGAAGCCATTGGTGCTTAGAGTCTTTGTTTTATACACAAATTGCGTTAGCCTTCTCCACAGTTTTTTGTTGCTAAATACTTCCGTTGGGTTTGGTGGCCAGTTCTGTCCCTCCATGAGGCATGCGCCTATGAACGGGAGTCTGTCGTCGTCGTATTTTGAGCATGTGTAGAGGAAGTGTTCCGCTGTGTCCTCACTGGACTCATCACAGTCGCAGAGGTTGTTGTCCATTTTACCGAAGCGGTGGAGATAGGCATGGAAGTTGCCGTGCCTGGTCAAAATTTGGGTAGTCTCGGCATTTGGAGTATAGTGTGTGGCCTTGACATGGTGAGTAATAGATGGAATGAAGGCGTAAGTTTTTCTCCCTGTGTCTGCATTTTCCCATTCGTGTTGCCACTCGTTGAGAGCTAAGTTGGTAAGTTGGTTTTTTAACCATGAATGAGGAAGTTTCTTGTAGGATGGTTCTCTGTTCAGGATGCAAGCCTTCCTAGCTAGTTTATCCGCTAGTTCATTACCAGCTTGCCCCGTATGCCCAGGGATCCAATTGAAGTGGAGTTTTCTGATCTTGCTGAGGTTGTTGGCTTTGGAAATAAGATTGGCAGAAAGGCCGATGTGCCTCTTGCCATTCGTGAGGATATTAAGGGCCGTTCTACTGTCCGTGTAAAGGCATATAGTGCCCTTGTACTTGTGAATATAGTCTGTAATATGGTTGATGGCTTTAAGTATCGCCCATAACTCAGCTTGGACATTCGTGCAGTGGGCCGCCATTTTGGAATACGCCTGATATTTAATCTTGTTTTTGTTATCCATAATTGCGACTCCTGCTCCTGTACCTTCCTCACCCCTTGAACCATCCGTATAGATGCACCATGATGCCCAGGTGTGGTTTTCCTCGGGATCGAGACATACAGTGTACCCTTGTGTCTCATGAGGGTGGTTTGAGTTTACCTTGTTTTGATTTGTACCATCTAGGCCGTTTGCCTGAATGTCGGCCATGATGTTTGACAGGCTCCTGGTGATCATTTCCTTAACCTTGTTGTTATAGGTGTTGTTGTCCTGCCCGGGAGTTTGACCCCTGGAAATAAGCCAATACCAGGCGATGGTTTTAGCCTGAATGTGGATTGGCGTGATACCGGCCAAGACAAGGAGGGCACTTGTAGGAGCAGTGCGATAGGAACGGCAGATTTGGATGGCAAACCTTCGTTGAATTGATAGGAGTTGCTTTCTGGCATGAATATTGTAGACTGCCTCGTACCAGACCGGTACTGCGTAAAGAAGGGCCGGTTCCATGGCGGCCTTATAAATGGTTTTGGTGTTCTTGTAATTTAGACCCCAGTACTTACCTGTGATCCATTTTAGTGCATTTGCCTTTTGGGTCAACCGCTGGCAGAGCATTTTGACATGGTAGTGCCAGTTTAATTTCTCATCGAGGTAGACACCAAGGTATTTCAATTCACTGATGACTTTGACTTTATTCGA